CTCACCAGGCCTGGGCTAGGACTGGATCTGGGGGTTCCCAAATCATGGCAGAAATTACTACTGGGCAGGTGGTGTAGGGGAGGTGCTGCGGAGTGGTGACAGGCATCCCAAGGGTGTGGAAGAGGGTCTCACCCACCTAAACTGATTTCTGTGGTCCACTTTATATTACTGTTGTGCTTTGTATCGAATTTTAGTCTTGCTTTATGACCATTTAAGGCATTTCCTAGTTTTAGTGTCTGCTTGCTCTTATCATTGAACTTATAAGATTTCTTAGCATTAAAGGACCAAGATGATAATCACTAACATTATTTCAACATCTCTTCTTCACTGTGCTTTTAAATTATAACTTTGATTTCATAGTGACACAGTTATAAATGCCACCAAGGAACTGATCTAAAATATATTCTTCAACATAAAAACAAGTGCTTTGTTGCAAACCTGTAGATTTGGCAACTTCTTTACTAACTTAATTATTTCTGAAGTTTATGTTTTTGGAGTCATTTTGAACTTACAGAAATGTTGCAGAGTGTCACATAGAGAGCTAGCTATTCTTTATTCTCTAATGATTTTACATTAACATTTCTGGGGAGTCACAGACATGTTGCTCTGTGACTCCCAAGACTTCTGTGAACACTTCCTGAATTCAAGGGCACCCTTTGATGAGACTGCAGGGCACCTATGTTGGTAATTAACACTGAGCCAGTGCTACTGTGTACACCATAGGCACCGTTCAAATCTTGCCAGTTATCTCAGTGATGCCCTTTTTGTCCCAGATCCAATCTAGCATCGCCTATCTTCAGTTTCCTTCAAGCTGGATCAGCTCCTCTTCATTCTTTGTCTCTCTTGACTTTGATCTTTCGCAGCATGTTCCTCAGTTTGGGATTGATGTCATCTCCTGACTTATGGCCTCCTGATTTATGAACTTGAGTCCCTGCTATCCCAGACTATATGACAACAGAGGCGGGTGTCCTTTGATCAGGTTGCATTTGCTATAATTCTATGTGCTAAACTTAATATGTCTTATGTAAATATCAATCAATCAATAATTGTAAGTTCTTCTTGGGGACATACTTAGGGTTGTGTAAGTTATGTTCCCTAGAGTCACCTTGAACATGGAATTAGCAATTAGCTTTGCTCTAGGGCAGACATAGGGTGGATTCCTGTTATAATCATCCATTAGCCCACGTTTGTATGTAAAGACATTACTTAACATACAGTTGATTCATTAGCGCTGTGATCACCACCAGCAGTGCCGTAGCTCCTGCCTGTAGCAGCTCATGGATGTGTAGCTTCTTCATAAGCTCATCAGCCACCCGTGCTCAGGGACCCCAGACAGCACTGCAGCACTACCTCCGGGGTCATTTAAATAAGCAGAGCCACCAGCCCAAAACACAATGAGGTGACAGCATGTTGTGAAAGGGCCTCACCATATAGGAGCTGAAGCAAGAAGACACAGTGTCACCCGGTTCTGCCTCAGCTGCGAATGGACCAGTTGGATGACTGAAACCTTCACCATTCTGAGCATGGTGGCTTGGCTGTTTGAGTTTTTGTTTTGAGTTTTCTCAGTTGGCTGTTTGAGTTTTCTAGCAAGTAGATGAATTTGCCAGTATGAAATTTATAAATAATGAGGATCAACTGTGCCTTGTTCCTATTAGAGTTTCACTTGCCAGGTTTTGCAGCCATTGAGCTCAAATTGCCACAGATTGTCCTTTGGGAATCCTTCAAGATGTCTTTCTGAAATATTGCTATTATTTTGCAAGTATTTCTTTACTTTTCTATTCAACAAGATTTCTTTTCTTTCTTTTTTTTCCCACTGGATTAAGGACAATTTGTTGTTTTTATGTACAGAAAACTCAAGAGTACACTTAGCCCATTGTAGTGGTAAGATCTTTTGCCTTTGCTTTCTCCAGCTTGGCAATACAAGCCACAAATTTTGGACTCAGAATGTTGCCTCCCTAGTGATGGCGGATCTCATCATATCTGTCATTGTAGTTGGTCCTGATGGCCTCCACCAGCTTATCCAGCATGCCTTTGTCTTCCGAGTTGACTTGCGTGAAGGCAACAGTGGTACAGGCCTTCCTTTGGGTGAGACGCCTCAGACTGGCCTTCCCCTTGATGATGCAGTAAGGGACCCTCATCTTGCGACGCAGAGCAGGCAGGAACATGACCAGCTCGATGGGGTCCACGTCATGTGCAGTCACCACCAGCTGAGCCTTCTTGTTCTCTACCAGAGTGGTGACAGTGTTGACACCTGCTCTGAGGAATGGTGGCCTCTTGGTGGGGACATCTCCTTTGCCAGCAGCTTTCTTTTTTGCCTGGGCCAATGGGCTCTGCTTCTTCTCTTGCTTGGTCTCTGGTCTGTACTTGTGGGCAAGCTTAAACAGCTGGATAGCTGTTTGGTGATCCAAGGCCTGAGTGGACTGGTTAATTGCAGGGGGCACCTTAAGCACTTGTACAGGATGGCCCTCTGTCGTTGCAGCCGGATGTAGGGGGGGCATTTGACAAAGCGGGTGAGGTCTCTCTTGGGCTGAATGTCCTGTCCAATGCCAAATTTTTTCGGTCTCTTAAAAAACAGGGGATTTACCACCTTCTTGGCCTCCTGCTTCTTCATAATGGCAGTGGCTGGGGCCACCTTCTTGCCCTTTGGCTTTCTTCCCTTTTGGCATCTTAGCCAGCTGACAGAAAACTTAACAAAATTTTCCAAGCTTGTTTTGTATTTTGTCTGCATGAGCTCTGAAGTTAGATGTTTCTCCATTCTTTTAATGGGAAATGGCTTTTGGAAACCAAGAACTAGGTGCTAAAAGAGCTCATTTCTACCAGTAAGCAGGGCTTACTTTTAAGCCCTGCTAGCAGGCAGAACTAGGAAATGGTACCCTCCCATCTATATCACATATCAATCTATCCTAGGTGTCAGCCTTGCCTTACTATCTGTCAACCTATTCTGCCCATTTATCATTATCTAATCCATTTATCTATTTACCTAATTGATTCAGACCAATACCTCCAGATCCAATCTGATATCTAACTGTCCCACTTTCAATATTGCAACTCCCTTTTCTAACAGTTAGAAAACTGACTTCGGTGATTCTGCACTTACTGGCATAGGCCCTCTGTTAGATGCCCCTAGCACCACTGGTTAAAGGTGCAGCCTTGGGTCCTCTGGCCCTTGGTTCCTGCTGTTGCCGTTAGTGAAAGGTATGCCTGGGTAGAAGGGAGAACAGAGCTAATTTAGAGGTTTTGAAAGTTTGGATTTTTGTAAATTCTTATTAAACATTAGCATACTTTTATTTCTAAATCAAAGAGAAGAGAGAGCCATCAGGCATATTTTTAGTTACCTTTGAAACTAGAAGGCTATTTTAATCATACCAAATAGACAGATGTAAAAGAAAAAAAAAATCTTGATTTAACTGTTGCCATTTAAAATACTCATATGATACATACATTGTCTTTGTGTGTTAAAAATGATTTTATATTTCTCCCAGATGATGTAAATTCAACACACAGGCTTTTAATATACAAACTTAATGATTTGAATCTTGAAGTGTTGATAGGTAATCTTAATTTTTCTAACTTAAATTTCGGATATGATATTTTAATTTATCAAAAAATTGGACAGTTTTATAGACTGTTTTGATTATGTGTGTTTATCAATGTTAAAAGAATCACAGTGCAGATTAAATTTTGTTTAAAATGCCTATTTAAATGTTAAAAATTGAATTATATTGAATGCTAAATTTGATTTCAATTTAAAAATGAAAGCCACAGATAATCACTTTCCATGTTTTAGATTCTGGTAAATAGGCTATGAATTATCATCTTAATAAAAGTTGTTGGTTAATTTTACTGAAATGACTGTGTGAGAGTCTAAGGAGATAACTGCTTACTGAGATAGCCTTTGCTAAAATAATGTATCTCACCTTTTCTACAAAGGTGTGTAAAGATTACATAAAGCTGCATTAATGCATATTATAAACATGAAAAAATTACAAAAGTTTATACATGAGATTTTCCTTTTATTCTTCTCTTTGCCAATCTTAATTTTGTTCACAGAATATAAGCCTTTAAGAGTTTGGTATTATGTGTATTGAGAAGTATACATTCGACCACACGTTGTTTGGTTTGTTTGAGTTTTACTGAAATCTGACTGTGTGCACATATTTATATGTTCCTGCAGCTTTCTTTAGTCAGTGATAAAAATATCTCTTGGGGTTCTTTTATGCTGATATATACCACTCTGTTCCCTTTTTAATTTCTGCAGTCTTCCATCATCCAGCTGTGCCATGCACATCTAAACATTGCACATTGAAGAACATATAGATTGCCCCTTCCCATGTTTGCTATTTTATATAGTGCTGCAATAAAAATAGTTACACATACATTGGAGGCAAGTGCCGTGAAATCAATACCCAAGTTCAGGGATGAGACCTTTCTTTTTCCCTTCGGGAACAGCCCAGCGGGCCTCAGGCCCATCTCTGGCTTCTCCTCTCCTTTGGAGATGGTGGCCCTCCATCACCCGGCTGAAGGCATGTGGCTGCATCTGACCTGATGCTCTCGTGCCTTGTAGCTTCTTTAGCTACGATTAGTCCTGTTCCATAAACAAGGCTGGAAATCAGATGTTCAACCACATAGGTAACCTAGGGTTGTCCTAAATTCACACATTTAACAGACTCAACAGAAAAGGTAATACAGAGGATTTACTTGAAATAGTTTTTGAAACAGGAGTTACAGGTTAGATACTGTTTGTAAGGATATTTTGCATGGTTATCTGTTTAGACTTATTATTTCCTTATTCTGGTTGAAAGTTTAAAAACCAAACCAAAACCAAACCTGTGTAATAAGGGGGATGGTTTTTAACTGTCATCAGGGTCATTCTGTTTTTGTTCTTTTGTGGCATATGGTGGTGTATGGCTATTTCTGGTTCATTTCAGAAGCAATTCAGTTTTGTTTTGTTTTCCATCCATTGTTTATAACATTCATTTGTCATTTTTGTCATTTTGTAGACCTACCAAGAGCAGCTGTCAGGATCTTAAGCAACATGACATTCCTTTTTGTGAGTCTGTCATACACAGCTGAGAGTGCCATTGTAACTGCTTTCATTACCTTCATTCCCAAGTTCATCGAGTCACAGTTTGGTATCCCAGCTTCCAGTGCCAGCATCTACACTGGTAAGGCACAGCCATGAGGGCTACTTGCAAAATGATCATTTTGTCCACTAAACTGAAATGGAATGCGTAAAGAAAAAGAAAGTTCGGTGTGACAACCCCGTGTCAAACTAGTTCATGGTCAGATACCCATTCCACCAGACTTGAGGAAGAGGAAGTTGTGGAAAATGTTCTTTTATTTAGATTGCGTTTCCCTGTGGCATATTCAGCAACTGTATTTGAGAGAGGAGAGTTTTGAATACTTATGTTTTTAATTGTTAAAAAAATGAAGTGAGCAATGATGTTTAAATTTGAATTGATCTTTTTTATGAGTTAGAATGGGTCTTAAAATGTTAAGGTTTTTTTTGTTTTTTTGTTTTTTTTTTTCTTTCTCATTTGTGTATTTGGTACAGGGTCTCACTATGGAGCTCTGACTCATAGTAATCCTCCTTTTTCAGTCTCCCCAGTGCTGGGATTACAGGCATGTGCCACTACACCTGGACTTGTTTGCTGGCTCAGCCTGCCCAAGGGCATGACCAGTGCAGAATGAGGTGCCAAGAATTGAACCCCACTCCCTATGCCTGTCTAAGCAGGTGCTTATTCCACTGAGCTATCTCACCGGCTCTGAAGTGTTAAGTTCTAAAAAAAAAAAAAGATAATGTTTAATACAGATCAAGCCTGTAATAGTTTCCCTTCATAAATGTGAACAGATTTTATTTAAATCCCTGGAGATTGTGAAATCACAAAGGAAGTTTGTGAATTTTATTTTGGATGTTTTATGTTTTCGCAAACTGAATTTTAAATTTCTGATAACATGTTTCTGTAGTACTTAGTATCTGAATATTCTTTGATACTGAATTGGACCCCTAGAAATGTGAGAATATTAATTCTCACATATTGGGGAATTTTCAATATTTGTGTAATATTCCAAATGTTTCATTTAGTGGTATTGGGGGCCTGGCCCTAGCTCAGTCCTTTAAGTAGCTGCTTCCACAAAGCTGTCAGCCTCAGGTTGCTGGAGTTCGAACCTCACAACTCTCCTGCTGGCCAAAAGTGCCCTGAAGGCATTCGAGGAACAAACAAACAAACAAAATCCTCATTTAGTGGTATTAAAAACCAATGTTGTATTTTTCTAAAGGCTCCATTTCTTAATAAAATATATTGGGCCTGCTCAGTGGCATAAGCACTTGTCCAGCAAGCACAAGGTTCTAAGTTCAATTCTTGGTCAAAAAAAATTAAACAGTGTAGAATAATGATCACTTTTCAGATGTCTTGAGCTCCTATGTTTTCATTTTATTGAGATTTTACATTCAATCGCAATAAGCTTGAATTACCTAAAAATGAAAAGGCAAAATGATGTCGCTGTAAAAAGGGAAGTTGATTTAAAATGTTTGTGTAATTACTTTGTCTCTGCCTCAGCTTAAACTGTAGAGATAAAATCAGCATGGGAGACTTTATTTTCTTGAAAAATACTGTTGTGGACCATGATAATTGGGCCTTAAAAATATAGCTTTGTTCTATATTGGTTTCAAAAAACACCTATTTGCACATATTAAGGTAAAACGTGCAGATCGTTTGCAGTCAGGCTGTCAGAGGGTCGAGAGCTTCTTCTGTTCCTCACTTACCGTTTTCACTGACTGCTTGCCGAGTCGCCGATTCGTGGGGATCCCAAGAACTGCCTCGTAGCTAGATGTAAAGCGACCTAACTATTATGGTAAGGTAGTTTCAAGCGTTTCCCAAATGAAGTGCCATCGTTAAAGCGTGTTCCTGGGAAGAAGGCCCATGCCCAAGAGCATTTGGCGTTTGCCTTGGCGCGCAGCAGCGTTCTTTCCCGCAAGCCTTTTCTTGGCCCTTCACGCTCTCTAGGCCTGGTGGAACTCCGCGGGGAGATGCAGCCCACGGCGTTCTCCAGACTTGTCTGACAGCACACCCCACCCTTTGGAGGCACGTCTCTTAGGAACAATCTTCCCCAGGACGGTGGGGACTCTGTCCCAGCGGCCCCCCCACCCCCAGCCCGGCGGCCTGGGCCACACCGTTTCCAGTAGCTGTGCCACGCTGACCCCCGGGCCTCCTGGCGCAGCGGTGCTGTGCTGAGCCAGGGACAATCGAAGCAATTCGAGGGCGTGTTGGCCCAGGCCGTCTCTTAGGTGCTGGTGGAGACGGAAGCTAGACAGACAATTCCTCGTGGAAAAGTGGAGTAAGGGTTCAGCTGGCCATGGGTGTTCGACTACATAGTTCCCCAGAGGTGTGAGCAGAACAGCACCCAGCAAATGGGGTGGGAGGACTGCAGGACTGAATGAGACCGACTCAAGAGCCTGTTCATCTGCCACACTGCAGCACGATGCCCAGTGCCACAGAGCCAGTGTGCTCTGTTCCTGTGGGCAGCAGCTCACCTTCTTCCTCCCACTCCCTCCCTCCTCCCTCACTTCATTTCTTCCTTTCCCCTCCCCCCCTCCCTCCCTCCTCCTCTCCCTCCCCCTCCCTCTCTCCCTCCCTCCTCATTGCCATTTGCAATTTATTTAATGTTTCATAGTCTATTATGTTCTGTTAGTTTCAGCTCATGTACTTTTCCTTCCATTTACAGATAGATAATAAATAACAGTCCTGAAACAGACTGATTAAAAGTAGAAGGTGGCCTGTTATGTTGCAGTAAGACTGAAAAGGGAGGATAGGCTTTTTAAAATGCTTATTGACTTTTTTAATCAATTGAATCTTTCTTACTTGCTAAACATAGATTTTTATTTTAAGGACTTATTTGGTTTGAGAGCCTTTGTTTTCTGAATCCTTTCCTATGTGTATATAGTGACATGAACATTAAGAAATTTATATGAACAATATTTTTAAATAGTTTAAATTTCTTTATTTTTGTAATGCTGAGAATGGACCCAAGGGCCATGCACATACTAGATAAGTACTCTACTATGAACCACAGTACCAGCCCCCCACAGCCTTTATTTTTAAAGAGGAAAACAAATAACAAAGGCAAAAACAAAGCAACATACACAATAAAAATGGGTACAGTATTTCAAAACAAGAATGGAAAATTAACAATGGTTGACGGGTCCTGGGAGATAGCTCAGTAGAATAAGTGCTTGCTTGGCAAGCACAGGGTCCTGAGTTCAATCCCTGGTACTGCAAAAACAAAAACAACAACAACAAAAACCAGTGGTTGTTATATTGCATATTGTTATCAACAAATTTGTTGTTCAGATTACCAGATATAGGTATGCGAGATTGGGCAAACTATTAAACATTAACTCTTCCTTTCAATAAAATGTAAATTTTTTCTTGTCCTTTTTAATCTTTATTTTGTAATTTATTTTAAAGAGGTTTTTTTTTTTTT